AGGATGTAAGTGTACAACTGTAATCCTAAAATTATAGATGCTGCTTTTAGTCACCAATATTAATGAATCTATCAGTGACTGGCAAAGATAGCTATCTTCTTATAATGAACGGTGCAGATGACTGTATCTCTAAGACTAATAGCCACGTTATTTACTCTCCATGAGCTGGGCATGCATAAGCAAAACAATATTTCAGTGCATAAATTCCATTTTTAGAATTATTAAAAATATATTTATGACCAAATGTTGGTAACAATTACTTTCCCGAAGAAAATAAGCACTCTTTATTGACCGTGAAATTATTTTAGCATTGAACTCACATCTAATGTCCACTTCCCATATGTTTTCACAAAATATAATAAAGTAGTCAAGGCAGAGGGCATAAACCACACAGTATTCATTTCAGGCTTCTGGATGAGCGCGCAGCTCGAAAACAAGCTCTTTCTTCTCTCCCTGAGAAGCTTTACACCAAGAACAGTAAATGAATTCATCCGCAAGGACAAAGAGGATAGGACGAGTCAACAGCCAGAGAGGGCTGGCAGCCAGGAAGAAACACAACAAATAGGGAACTGGTGGTAGGTTCAGGAGCTCTGCACCCCAAACTGGTGAGAGGGAATGCCTGCCAGCAACCGCAGTTTCCACTGCAAAACTCCTCAGGACTGGAGGATTTTCTCTAGGATGGCTGTCAAAAGGAAGATGAAAGCTAAAAGCACAAATATTGGTGTTCATGTAACTGACGATGCAGCTTTTTGAATCCCTTAGCCGGGCAGCTGTGCTTCCTCTCTTCAGAGAAGATTAGAGCTTTTTCCCTCAGAGATGCTAAGGTCAACAGGCTCTGGTCTGGCAGAATCTCTCTCCAATCAACCCTGGCGTCAGCAATCTAGGGAGCAGTCTCATGACTACAGACCAGACAAACCTTCCCAAACCACGTGAAGAGACCTAGAGGAGAGTCCCAAAGATACTAAGAACTAGTGTTCCAGTTTCATTCCTGATGCTGTGAGAAAATACCCTGTCAATAAGCAATTCAGGGGAGGAAGTGTTCACTTTTGCTGACAGTTACAGGCCACCACTGTGGGGAGGACAAGGTGACAGACACTCCCAGAGCCGCTTGTTACAGCGCATGCGCAGTCAAGAGCAGAGAGAAACTAATGCACGTGGGGTACTGGCTTCTTTGCTTTCTCCACTCTTAAACAGTTCAAGACCTTCTGTGTAGAGAATAGTACCTCCTACAGTGGCTGACTTTCTACATCAAATATCTTAATTAAGACAATACCTCATGTACACGTGCACAGGCCAACCTAACACAGTCCCTCGGCCTCAGCCAGTCCATCCTACTGCCAGAACCATACACAGCGGGCACATCTGACCACCCCATCTATCACCAGCCAACTCACATGCAGCAGGCTCCAACGTTCCAGTATCAACCAACAAACCAAGATGGTCAGGCATCCGACAAAACTTCAAACGTGGAAGGAGAAATGGGAGGGGAGAGGGAGGCGCACTAAAGAAGGAAATTTTACTTTTGCTTTTTTGTATTTTGAGGTTTTTACATTTTTTTTTTATTTCGGGTGTGTGGTTGTTTTGCCTATATGTATGTCTGTGCGCTGTGTAACTGCAGTGCTGGGGAGGCCAGAAGAAGGCATCAGAAGGTTTTATGCTGCCATGTGCATGCTGGGAATTGAACCCAGGTCCTCTAGAAAAGCAATCAGTAATCTTTTCTACCATAAAAACGTCTTTTTTTAATTGAAAATAGATTCTTTTTTCTAAAAGCACATTCTGACCACAGGTTCCGTTCCCTCAGTCCTCCTAGCTGCCTCCACCTCCCAGCTCCCCTGCTTCTCTCTCCCTGTTTTTTCCTTCAGATAAAAACCACTATTATCATACTTAGAAAGATAACAATTAATAGCTAAAGTTGACATCTTTATAAATATCAGAGGAGAGACTACAGTCCTAAAATTAAAACATAGAAAAGTAAAGGACTATTCAGAGAACAAACTACTTCAAAATTATGCCAGTAGCATTATTTTATAGAAGGGTTGGACTATGAAGCTGAAAATGTCATCCTTAAAACAAATGAAAAAAATTCAAAGAGATTAAAAATAGGGCAGAAAAAAAAAGCTAGAACAACTAGAAGAACAGTTCAGATGAGTTATTATCCAAATGATAGTTGTAGGAGAGCCAAAAAAAAAGATGGGAATGTTATGTTTGAAATAATTCAGGAATATATTTCAGAACTGCAACACACGAATCTCTTTGTTTTAATTCTTTATATATTCTTAATGTTAATCCTCTGTCCAATGTACAGCTAGAACTTTCTCTTTAATACTATGGGTTTTCTTTTCGATTATTACCTTGGATATCCAGAAGTTTTTTAGTTTTGCAAAGTTTCATTTGTTAGTTGTTGGCCTCAATTCCTGGATAAAGGGGTTCCTTTTCCTATACCTGCCCCCTGTACTGCCTATGTTTTTCTTCTAGCAGTTTCAAGTTTCACGTTTTGGATTTTGATCCATTTTGCAATTTTTGTACAAGGTGATGGATATGGATCTATTCTCATTCTTGTATATGTAGACATACAGTTTCCCAGCACCATTTGCTGAAGATGCTGTGTTTTTTCAGTTGTCTTTTTGGCATTTTAGTCAAATGTTAAATTCCTCTAGTTATGTGTGCTCATGTTTGGGTCCTTGATTTTTGACCCATTGGTCTATATTTTTGTTTGGGTACCAGGACTGCATTTTTTATATATACATTAGCTCTGTAATATATCTGGAGATATGGAATGGTAAACCCTCTAGCATTGCTCTTTTTGCTCAGGACTATTTTAGGTTTCTAGGTTCTCTTGTGTTTCCATGCGAATTTTAGTATAATATTTTCTCTTTCTATAAAGAATGAAATTGGGATTTTTGACATTCCCTCTAGTCCTACTCTCTCTAGGATTTTTATAATGAAAGCATGTTGAATTTTGTCAAAGACAGTTTCTACAGCTATTGAGATGATCATGTGAGTGCTGTTTTTCCATCCATTTTATGGTTTATTACAATTAATTAATTTAGTATGTTGAACGATCCCTGTATCTCCAGGATAAAGCCAACTTTATCATGATGGATGATCTTTCTGATGTATATTTGGATTCAGTTTGCAAGTTTCTATTGAGCATTGTTGAATCAATCAATGCTGAGTCATTGTTCATGGCCTGTAGTTTGGAGAGGGTTTTTTGGGGGGAGAGTGAGGGGGTCTTTACATGGTTTGATTATTAACATGATAATGGCTTCATGAAAATGAGGGATTTCTCTTTCTGTTTGTTTTCTTTTTTCTTTTCTTTTTCCTTTTGGATAGTTCAAGAAGCATTGTCTGTAGGTCTTCCTGATTGCTACTTTGAATGCACCCTGAAAACCCAAACATGAGCCATATTTACCTTTCTGAAAGATCTGAGGCAGTTGCCAAGTACTGTAATACAATGAGTATAATTTCCATAATCCTTGAAAATAAGGGATGTTTGCAGGGTTGTTAAATACAAATTTATGAAAATGGAAATGTATTTTAAGAGTAATGGAATATTTATGAGTTAAATTATCATTCATTAGTTTATATATAGTCTTGTTTCAAAAAAGGATTTTAGGGAGTCTATAAACGTACAGGCAACATAACACTAAATTACATTCAAATTAAATTAAAATCTTGGCAAAATAAAATAGAGAATGAAAGGTAGTTCAAAGAGGAGCCAAGAAAATTGCTTAAATTTTCTATAATTATAACCTAATACTGGTGTCAAATTTGTCTCTGAGCTATGTGTCCGTTAATATTAAATGCAGCTCCAAGTGAGAGAGACAAAACATATGGCTTGAGTAAGTTAAAACATGAGTGCACTTTTCTCAAACAGAAAAGCCAGAGACATGCGGTGTGTAGAGGACTAGTGTTGAGGCTCAGCTCTACGCTGTCTCCTCTCACTCACCCTTCTGCCTTCCCAAAGTGGATCTTTGACTCCACTGTCCAAGACAATAACATTTCTACTCCGGGCACCAGAATCAAGGTAGGCAATGAAGAAAGAAAGAACAAGAGTTGCCTTCCAAGTGATTCCCAACAAAGATTACTAGAAATTACCACTCTACTCTTTTAGTTCTATCGCATCATCCGGGGACTAGTGATATAGTCTAGGCACAAGGGAAGCAGGAAATGAAGTCATCATTCCATGTGGGCATGAGTCCTTCTACAAGCTCTGCAACCAACACATGTGTACAGAAGAGAGTAGACCACATGGGAAGAGCATCTTCCACAGCCTCACAGCAGCCAAGAAAAGGCATGCACTCCACTTCCAAATAACAGAGTGGTAAATGGCTGCTGAAGAAATTGCAGCAACTATTTTAGTGAAAAGATTGGAAAGGTATGGTTTTGCAGGACTCCACACAAAAGCAAAACTTTTACATCAACAGCACCCTTCCCATATGGGTATGCCTTGTGTCACAGGACACCTGACAATACATTCACAGTATAAAGAGACTGTCAGCAAAGCTTGGTTGTGCTGAGTTCTTTTTGGGGGGAGAGGGGGAGAGGAAAGGGTTTATTTGGCTTACGCTTCCAGATCATAGTCTATTACTGGATGAAGACAGGACAGGAACTTAATTAAGCAGGGCTGGAACCTGAAGTCAGGAGCTGGTGTAAAGCTCATGGAGGATGCCGCTTACTGGCTTGCCTCTCATGGCTTGCTCAGCCTGCTTTCTTATAAAACCCAGGGCCAGCAACCCAGGTTCCACAAAGAGCTGAGCCCTCCAATTTTGTTCACTAATGGAGAAATGCCTTATAGCTGGATATCATAGAGTCATTTCCTGATGATTCTGCTTGTGTCAAGTTGACACCCAAAACCAGCCAGTACACATACTATAGAAAAAGCGACTTTCAGGTTAGGTCATTTTTACTGCACTTCTAAAAGCATCTCAGATACATGTTTCTTTTAATGTCATCATGAGTATCTTGATATTAAATATATACTTATATATTTGTTTCAGAATTGAAGAAAAATCCATTTACCATAATTTGAGGAAAAGAAACCATTGCAATCACAGAGACTACCAGAGTATCTCAAAAAATGGTGCGTAGCCTGTCCCTATGCCTTCACCAAAACACATGTAAGAATTGACTTTATTTGGGAATTACTACAAAAATTAATCTGGGCACAGGGATCTTTTCTGAGACTGATACTCCAACCAAGGACCATTCATGGAGATAACCTAGAACCCCTGTACAGATGTAGCCCAGCTCAGTCTCCAAGTGGGTTCCCTAGTAATAGGAACAGGGACTGTCTCTGACATGAACTGATTGGCCTGCTCTTTGATCACCTACCTCCCCCTGAGGGGGGATCAGCCTCACCAGGACACAGAGGAAGACAATGCAACCAGTCCTGATGAGACCTGATAGACTATGATCAGATGAATGGGGAGGAGGACTTCCTCTATCAGTGGACTGGGGTTGGGGCATGGGTGGAGAAGAGGGAGGGCGGATGTGATTGGGAGGAGATGAGGGAAGGGGCTACAGTTGGGATACAAAGTAAATAAACTGTAATTAATAAAAAAAAAAACATTTAAAAAATTAGCAGTGGACAACCAGAACACAGTGAAGTCTTCCTTCCCCTTCTGAGCACAGTGCTCCAGCCCTCCAGACATTTACACACAGAAAAGGAGAACAGGATGCAGACAAGGAAATACAGAGGCTGTGTCAGTCACACAACAGTGAAACAGTTCTATTAATTCTTAGCCAAATGAAGAGACACACCGTTGGAGAAGTACCACCCAGATGAGCCTTAGTTAAACAAGGGCAGGCAGACCAAGGCTTCTGGAAAAGCTCTGTTCTGCCCACTAGAGCATTCTCCCACACTTCTACAGCGGTCAGAATTTTAAGATTCGCTCACGTGAGTCTTTATCCTCCATGTTGAACTAGGAGGTGGCATGCTGCTCTCAGATGCTCATAAGACCCCTGTTTAATAAGCCACAGCCTTACCATGAGTTACCATCTCTCAGTGGTAAAGATGCATAGAAGCATGGGTTTTAACTGAATGTATTACCTGCAAATAACCTATTTCTTTTTTATTTATTATTTATTTATTAAAATTTGTTCACCTTGTATCCGGGCTGTGGCCCCCTTCCTCACCTCCTCCCAGCCCCACCCTCCCTCCCCTTCTCCCCCTATGACTCTCTCCTAGTCCACTGATAGAGGAGGAGGTCCTCCTCCCCTTCTAAATGGGCCTAGCCTATCAGGTCTCATCATGACTGGCTGCATCATCTTCCTAACCTATTTCTTAAAAAAGTATTCTACATGAAATGAATGTCCTACTCTTTAAGAAGGGGTGTTTTAACTGGTATTGAACTCCCACCAAATGCTGAGAAACATATTTCAGCCAAAGTATGTATATTTATGTATGTGTCAGTTAATCCTGTTCTCAATAAACATTGACAGCAAATATGAATGATTATATTTCCTCAGAATTAAGATGTCATTGATTGTAATCCCTTGGGGAGTGTTATGGTAGAAATGGGAACAAAAGCTTATAATGTACATATTGACTACAGCACTCAACTCAATTACCCAATGTGTTAGGACATTTTTCTCAAAATTGGAAAAGTATGAGGATATATGCATTGCTGCAGCTCAGAAAAAGGAGACACAGACATGTCTAGAGCTTTGTCCCAGGTCATAGAGATGGGAAGTTACAGGGCTGAAACTTTTGCCCACCCTGTCTAACTCTACTCAGATATCAGTGAAGGTCAGGCCTCCACTGCCCTGTGATCTTCAATGATCTACAGAGAAAGGTCAGCTTCGCTTTATATGTGAACACTAGTAGGGACGGACAGTGTAGATGAAAGCTGTTTGTGAAGTCCCCAGATATAAGCCCTTGATTGCACATCAGTGAGAGACTCAAAGAGCTTTCAATGCTAGAGACTCACTTTCAATACAGACGGGGAAAACAACGGAAGCTCATTTCTGTGGAATATTATGCAGCTTTGGGAAATTATGGCAAAGAGTCTATTTTTAAACAGGAAAGTCAAAACACAGACAAAGCCACAAAACTGGATATTATAGTTCAATTTTTACCACATCTTTAAAAGGAAATGGTGAGGGGGTGTATCTAAGAAGATTAGTAGGACATACACTAGGGTCATTGTTTGAGAAATTTTGAGTGATTCCTTTCTCTCTTCCCTCAACTCTACTTTTATGAAAGGTTATATGTATATATAAATTAAGTCTAGAAAGAGTAACAGGATAAAGGTATCAAGGTAACTCAGGGTGATGAGCAGCCCAACTCTTTAGGCATGCACGCTCTGTCCTTGCTCTGTGTAACTTCAGAGCCAACATTTCTGTCTCTTTCAAGACCCAGATGTGTCAACAACACTTTCCCACCCCAAATCTGGCAGTCTTTTGTAAAACTCATGAAGACCAGAATGAGATGCTCCAAAGAGTACCCCTAGCAACCCAAAGTAGCCAAGTATTCATGTATATTTTGCTGCCTTAACCACATACACTCCTTTAAAATCCAGGTTGTCCACAGCAGCAGGCAAAGGGAGGTAGGAGGAAAGACTCATCACAGAGAAATGCACGGTGAGTTCAGTGCAAGGCCCAGTTTCTGTCCATGCAGTGAGAGATGCTGCAGACAAAGGAGATTTCTCTTTCTTCAGTTTGCATTCCTCTGAATTATACAAATGTTCACTGTGTCTTGAATTATTGCTTCTCTGAATACACTTCTCATCAGATCTTCTAAGAATGTAATTCTAAAAGGATATTTTTAGTTTCTCATAGTTACCTGTTATCTAATGTCCTGGTTTTATTCTCCAGCTCTTCTTCCTATTTTCTGTTGCTTTCCTTGCTGTGCATTTTCTTTTGATATTATGCAGCGTGTAACCTGGCTGCCCACACCAAGTTATTTCAATTACTCCCCAAGGTTTTTATTAGATATAGGAAAAGTCAGCTTCCCACATTCTGCATATTTATGGCTGCATTTACTTTTCAGAGCCAGCAAGAAAGAGAAAAAAAGCTAAAAAATAGTTGAATAGAATATTAAAGAGTTTCTTTTAAATTGTGTAGTAAGAATTAAAGAAACAGCTCCTATTTCCATCTTGACTGTTATATAAAAGATCTTTTAAGTATCTGCAGATACATAAAGAGCCTCTTAGAATGTGAAGTGTGGGAGTCACTATGATTCTAGGATGATGCCTTGACGTGAGGCTTAGGAAGCAGTCTCACTCCATCTTCTCCACAATCAGAAAGCTAGATGGTCTGCAGTGAACCCACTCCGCTCCAACCTACTGAAACAGACAGGGCAAGAGGTTGCCAGTGCACTGCAGAGGGCAGGGTCATAGTGCTTTGTGTTGGCTGGTCCCTTATCTCGCCTTTCAGAGATGGGAAGTGAGATCTGGGGAACAGAGATCAGAGCCCTTTGCCTCTGGTTACCTCACAAAAATCTTTCTTTGGGATTGGACCTGGGAAGTGATACCAGAATCTTGACTTGAGTGTCCTGGATGACAAGGCACTTGTGTGGGTCATCTACACCTCACTCTCCCTTGGAGAGACATAGCACTCAAAGCCAGTGTAGCAAGGAGTGAGGACAGCCCCCGTGGTTTCTGTCACTGTAACTTCCTGCCCAAGCATGTACAAGCATCATAAAGCTTGGGGCCTGTTTGACCCAGAGAGATAAAAATGAGACCAACAGCTTACTTGAGTGGCACAGGGCTTGGTGTGCAGAGGAAGACCAAGAGACACAGCTTCTTAAACATTCGTAAGTACCTGTAGTCAGAACACAATAGAAACAGTGGCTGCCATCCCCATCTGAACTCTTATTTATTCAGTAGTTTTAAATTAGTCACATTTTTCAATGTCAAAGATCTTAAGACAAACATAGCAAGTAAATGTAAAAGATACATGTCAATGACGAGAGCCAGAGCTCTCAAAGATGGCCCAGCAGTGCATGGGTTTGGCATTCAGGTCCTTGCAGACAGTGGCAGGCAGGAAGGAAACAGCAATGCATAGGGGCAGCACACGGACCTGGAAGCTGACATGGCTCCCTCTGGGAAGAAGAGGCTGGGAGGGGAAAAGAATGAGAAACGGGAAAAACTAAAGATGGCAAGTCTAAAGCTGAGAGCAGGAGCTAAGGTAGGGAATGGTCCGATGAGCCAGACACATGAAGGAGTGCTTGGGGTGGGAAGCCCTCGGGCTGTACCTTCCCGGGACCTGGAAGGAAGAAGGTTATTCTTCAGCATTTTATTGGCACCGTAGGTAGAGTGGAGGGGTAAGCGCTGCGTCCCCCAGGACAGTATGGCTGCTGAGTGGAGGGCCAAGCTCAGGACCATGCTGAGGGCTGCAGCTTAATAAATTGGAGGAGAATTGAGCTTGAGACATCACACTGTCTCCAAAAAAGAGCACATCCCCTCAAAAGTTAAGATCATCAGGGAGGTAGTTAGCCCCCAGCGATGGAGGCTGTCCTAGAAACTGTGGTACCCTATCCCATCCTACCATACCCAAGCTACAACGCTCCACTCTTCAGATCTGGGTGTTCATTAGTCCTCAGGACTCACGCTTAGGGAGGATGCAGAAATTAGGAGATTTGGCCCTCCATGTTTTTGTTTGATTTCCTGCCCTCACCCACACCCTGGAGAGCCAACTGCTCCTTCACACACATTGTTTGTCAATGCTGAGGTTGAGCTTTCATGGGCTTAGGGTTGGGTCATTCTTTAAGCCCAATTCCCAGCTGGACAGGAATCAGAAGACACGTGAGGCCAGTAACTGCAGGTTTAACACCGACCTTAGTTAGCCTGGCCATCCAACATATTTTTCTTTAACCTAAAAGCTCTCGAGTTATTTTTAACCTTTGAAGAAGATAAAAGCATGAACAGTGGTCCTCTACAATTAGAATACAGAGTCATTTTTCTTCCTTTAATATCAAAGATAGGAACCACTCTGCGATATCACCTCAGACCTGCTGGGATGGCCATTATCAAAAAGACCTAATGACAAAAATTGGCTAAAAATGGAGAGTTTAGAATCACGCATTATTGGAGGGAATGTAAAGTCTTCTATCCATTAGAGAAGGCAGCAGGATAATTC